CGCGGGCTGAAGCGAGAAGCGCAGCGCCCACTGCAGAGCTGCGTCTCTGACCCGCGCCCACGCCAGGCGGCAACGGGATCAAAGCACTGAGGAAGGGCCCAGCCCCGGCGTGGCTACCAGGTCACCGCGCCCCCGAAGACCCGCTTCATCTCTCCTCTCTGCCGTGGCGCAGTGAGAACCCTGTGCCCCCGCGCCCTCCTTGCGGGCTGAAGCGAGAAGCGCAGCGCCCACTGCAGAGCTGCGTCTCTGACCCGCGCCCACGCCAGGCGGCAACGGGATCAAAGCACTGAGGAAGGGCCCAGCCCCGGCGTGGCTACCAGGTCACCGCGCCCCCGAAGACCCGCTTCATCTCTCCTCTCTGCCGTGGCGCAGTGAGAACCCTGTGCCCCCGCGCCCTCCTTGGTGGTGTCCAAGCCCTGCTGAGGGTGTGGCGAGGGCCGGCTCCTGGCTTCTCCTTTTGCTCTCCTCCGCGCAACCTCAGTTCCCCGTGCGGGAGGAGGGCAGCTGCCTGCTGGGGCGGAGACTGCCCTGCGCGCCGCTGGACACCTGTATCTCCCAGGTGCTGCACTGCCCCCTCCACCTCCCCTAAACCCCGCTGACCCCTCCAGGCGAAGCCCGAGGCAGAGGAGGGCAAGGCCCCCCCATGGCCCGCTGACCGCAGGTTGTAGGTCCGCAGGTTGCGCTGCCTCCTCTTGGTGGCCCTCAGCTTGACGAAGGTGCGGCCCGTGGGGTCGAAGACGCACAGCACAGTGATGCACACACTCAGGATGACCACCCAGTTGCAGACGACCATCCCTGCGGCAGCCATGGGGACACCGGTCACCAGCCCTGAAGACGGGGACGCCTGGGCCCAGGAGCGAGGCTCGGCAGCCTGCCCAGCCTCGGTTCTGAAGCCCTGTGCGCCCTCTGCCCACTGGCCTACCGAGGGTGACGTTCTTGGCAGTGAGGTCGTTGCAGGAGGTGTAGTACTGCGTGAGCCACACGATGCCCACGATGGCGTAGATGAACTCGATCACCAGGATGGCTGTGGAGACAGGCCAGGCTGAGGGCTGGAAGGGCCCAGCGCCTGACCCACCCAAGGCCCAGGCCGGGCTGCTCCCCTGAAGCCCTGGAGGGCCGGGCTGATGAGGTGCCTCCCTGCTCCTGTGGATTCAGAACTATGTGCCTGAACTTTGTGACCAGACCTGTTAGTGAGCTCCCTGACCTGAATCCTCAGCTGCGAAATGGGGTGACAAGGTCTATCTCACGGGGCTGTGCAAGGCCGGGGGTGTCTGACGCAGACCCCCAGCTCCCACCTACGAGAGGAAGACACGGATGTCCATTCGTGGAAACCACTGCTTCTCAGCTTGCGGCCTCTCAGCCTGCAGGAGGAGGAGCCAGACCGAGGGGTCCCCAAGGAGGGACGATCACAAAGCAGAGTGCTTGGCAGCAGAGCCCGAGCTAGAATCGGGGACAGCACATGTGCCCAGAAAGGGTCAGAGAGCAGACACTGTAGATTCCGGTCCTATGGGCTCTGAATAAACGCCTTGTCTCGGCTGCTGCGGGCCAGTGCTGCCCGGCCGCGTGGACGAGCGTGTGTTCCCAGATTTCATCCACAGCTCGCCCACCCAGGCAGTCTCCCGCACCGCTGGCCCTGGTCTCGGGGGAGGTCTGCCCACGGGGCGCACAAGGAGTGGATGGACGGGCGGTCCAGCGCCCCACCCCGGGGGCGGCCCTTACCCAGGCGCACGTAGAGCACGTACTGCATGGAGTCCCGGGGTTCCGTGTAGAGGATGCCCCCGCGCATGCTCAGCCAGATGATGGCCATCTCGGCGATCATGCAGCTCAGCAGGATGCCCAGGTAGCCGCGGCCGTGGTCCACCAGGTTCAGGGAGCAGGCCTCGTGCGGGCTGTAGACCAGGCCGAAGAGCACCACGGACAGGATCACAAACCTGAGGGAGGACCCGGGTCTGTACCACCAGACAGTGCCCGGTGTGGTGCTCAGCGAGAGGGGGCAGGACAGGAGCCAGGAGCCTGCCGCCTGGTTTAGGTCTTGAACTCACCCCCCAAGGCTCCCGTGCTCAGAGATGGGGCTCAGGGAAGGTGACTGGATCTTGGGGGTGCAACACTCTGCTGAGAGTTCACTCACTGAATCATCAGTGGGAAATGGGCTGTGAGAAGGCAGGGTCTGGGGAAGAGCTGTGGTATGGCCTAGAAGGGCGTGGCTCCTCCCCTCTCTCTGCCTCGCAGCCTCCACGACACCAGCGGCTTCCCTTCACCCAGCCCCTCCCACCATGCTGTTTCTGCCTTGGAGCAGCTGAACAGGGACTGTGACCAAGAGCCAAAGCAAACCTCTTCACCTTTAAGCTGTGAATGTCAGGGACACGGTGTCACAGCAATAGAAGGTGACCAAAGAAGTGGGGTCACTGGCCTGACTCTAAGTGGCCACGTGGTTCAGAATCCTTTGGTTTTTTTTGTTGTTGTTGTTTTGCTTTGTTTTGTTGAGACATGGTCTCACTATGTGTTTGAGACTGACCTGGAACTCACTATTGTAGTTCAGGCTGGTCTCGAACTCACAGCAATCCTCCTGCCTCAGCCTCCCGAGTGCTGGGATATTACAGGTGTGCACCACCATGCCCAGCCAGAAGCCTTTGGAAGTGGCATGCACAAGGAGATTGGAAAGGCTTAGGGATGCTGTCGAGACAAGCTCTAGAATGCTATGAGCCAGCTTAATGGGAAATTGTGGTTAGAGCTCTTAAGACCAGAAAGCTGACAGAAATTCAGACAGTAAAGGCCAGGCTCAGGAGGTTTCAGTTGGGAAGAAGGCCTCCATTGGCAGTTGGAATACAGACCATGTGTGTTATACCTGGGCAAAAAATTTTTCATTTTGTCCATGTTCTGAGACTTTGAAGGAGAGTGAGATTAAGGAAGGCAAACTAACGAATCTTCTGGAGGAAACTTTAAGGTAGCTCAACGTTTGGGCTGTAGCATGGACACTTCTGGCTATTTTCACCCCAATTTACAATGAGAATAAAGAGCAAAAAGCCCATATGAGAAATTTTCAGTTTCGCCAGAAAGGCGGTGCCTGCAAAGTTGGGGCCATGGAGGGCAAAGCATGGCTGAGGAAAAGATCTGTGTAAAAGTACACAGGATTTTCATCAGTATAATAGTAAAGGTGGCTTAAGGGCACTTGAGGTATCAGTAAGACACCACTATTTTCAGGCTCAGAGATGCAAAACTATAAGCCTTTAAGAAGAGAGCCCTGGGCCCCCTGCTCAAGAAGGGCCACCTAGGGAATTGTTTTTCCAAGATTCATTTCACAGTGCTCAACCATTTGGGCACGTGGAGGCCTCAGCAGCCATGATTCAAGGGGGGTTGGCTACAGCTTGAGCTGGTGGCAGACACTGAAGTCACTCACACACAGTGCTGGTTTTACAGGCACAGAGAATGTAAGAGTTGTAGGGTCAGGAAGGCTTCCACCCAGGTTTCAGAGGAAGGCCCGGGAGGCCAGGCAGAGCACAGTGTGGGAAGCCGTGAGAGTAAAGCTGAAGGTGCAGTGGAGATGCCAGGAACACAGACTCTCTGTTGAGGAAGGCTGCAGGCAGTGAGCAGAAACAAATGAGAGCCCATGACAGTGACAACTGGCAATGCTGCAGGGCAGGGCTGTCCATGCCCTCCGAGCTCACAACTCTTCACCACTTGTCCTGGGCGATGGATTTGGTTTGCCCTGCTGGGTTTCAGTACTGGTTTGGTTCCAGTCCTTTTTATCCCTTTTGGAATGGGAAAGTTTACTGTGCGATTGCATGTTGGCACTGCACTGGTTAACTTTCTTTTTTATTTCTGTAGGGCTCACAGCTAAGGGTTTGCCTTGAGTCTCATTGGGTACTTTGGACTTGACTCCAGGTCAGCAATGCTGGAACTGTTAAGACTTTGATGACTCTTACAAATGGGCTAAATGCATTTCCCATAGACACGTGGACATGAGCCTTTTGGGGGCCTGAGGCAGAATGCTATGGTTTAGATCTAGAAATGTCTCCCAAAAGGCTCGTAAGTTCAGAGGTCAAGCTTCGGAAGGTAACTGGGTTGGGGGGCTATACTCATCTGTATTAATCCAGCAGAGGTCAGAGCTAAATGTGCTGTTGCAAAGTAGGGCCTAAAGAGAACAGGTAGGTTGCTGGGGGTGTGACCTGGCAGTGTGTCTCCCTCCCTGACTCGTCTCTTCTCGCTGCTTCCTGGCTGTCATGTGAGCAGCTCCCCTCTGCCAGGCCCTACCTGCCTTGGAGATAGCCAACTAAGGACTGGATCCCCTAAAAACTGTGAGACAAAATAAACCTCTTTTCCTTCAAGTCTTCAACATCACGTATTTTGTCCTAGCAATGAAAAAGTAAGACACCTGGCTAAGTCATCCACTGTCAGCACCGCCTGGTAACTGCCTGGTGCAGGAGACGAGGCAGTGACAGCCAGGAGGTGACCTGGCTCCACGGGCAAATACCCAGCGGGGTTCCATCCTGCAGGCACCTCCTCAGGAGCTCAGGGTCAAGGGGGCCCAGGCAGGGAGCGGCAGGCAGGTGCAGGCTGCCTCGGTCTGCAGCCCAGCTTGAGACTCACCAGGTGGTGTGCAGGAGGAAGAGGAAGATGGCCGGCAGGACGAGGTCATCGCTGCCCACAGACCAGCGCCGCCGGAACACCACAATCCCGGGCATGGCTGGTGGCTCCGGAAGGCTTAGCAGGCCTGGTGCTCACCTCCTGGAAGAGAGCAGAGGACCCTGAGCAGGCTACACCTCCCGGGGCCACCGACTCCTGGGCCACGGGGCTCATCCGAGATGTGGTCAGCAGCACTGGCATCTTTGGCACCGATGAGTCCCACGCTCGGTCTTGGGGCCTCTGGGCCACTAGAAATACTGACCCATCTCTAGGCAGGAGCCGCACCCTGTTGCTCACCTCCCAGAGCCAACATCAAGGACTCCAGCAGCAAGTGCTGCTCAGGAGTGCCCAGGACCCAGGACCCCTCCCTAGGGCTGGAGGAGGCTGGCAGCACGAGCAAGAGTCATTCGGGCAGACTCTGGTGGCAGCACAGGGAGCCCGCACTGGGCTGTGCTGGAGGAACCCAGCTGGGGCACCTGCCCCCCAGCCCACAGAGGCTTACATGGCACCTGGTCTGGGGCCAAGTGGCAGGTCCTCTCCCCAGGGATGGCTCCGGGGAAAACATGTGTCCTCGGAGACCAGTATCACTCGGGAAGGAAGCAGCCAAGTCGTCCCCTGCCAGTGGGCACAGCCCTCGGGGTGGGCAAGGGGGCATGAGGCCGGCTGGCCAGCTGGCATGTCTGGCCCAGCCTGTCCCTGCCCCACGGCGCGGCCAGTTTGTGCAGCTCTCAGGATTGCTTGGTGCTGGCAGCCTGGCGGGCTGGCCTGCCGGGGTCGTGCCTGCTCCTCCCCCCAGGAAGTGACATCATCTACACTCCAAGGAGGAGCAGAGGAGCGGGACTAGGGAAGCTGGATCTGGAGGAGGGTGGGGATGGGGAGACGCTCGTGAGGCAGCTGGGGGCGGGACCTTGGCGTCTGTGACAAGCAGGGGACGGGCAGGCAGCTCTCTTGGGTTTGCAGTGCCGGAGGGGAGGGGCTGGGCAGCAGGGGCTAGAGAGGGGCACCTCACCACCCTCCTCTGCAGGTGGCTCCTCGGCTGCATTATGAGGAGGTCAGGCTTAGGGGGCTGCAGAGAGCACTCCACACCACGGGACTCATCCAGAGAGGTCAGGGGTTGGCAGCAGGGTCCTGGTGCCCTGGCTCTGCGTTCTGCCAAGGGCTTGGTGGAGCAGGTCGGGTCGCCACCTGCCCGGCTCCTCTGCAGCCCAGAACATCAGTCCTCGGGTGAAGCCTGAGGCTGCCCCCCCTGCACAAGGGCTCCTCACCTCACCATTCCCTTAGGGGTCTGCAGGGCCAACACCCCTTGCACTCACGGGGACCATTCACCCATCACCCTGGCACAGGCACTCAGAGTGGGGCATAGGGCCCTGGAGCCACGGGGCCATTGGCAGCCTGTCCCCACCTATGGTCAGCAGCTGTGGTCGGCACTGGGGCCCACACCAGCCAGCCCGCCACCCAGTGGGCAAACGGTGGTGACCCCACAGCCCCCACCATGACATAGGAGTTGAGCCTCAGGTCCTCATCTGCACAGTGGCACCCAGGCCCACCTCCCAAGGCTGGCGAGGACCATGCAGGAGACAGCACGCAAGGCCCGGGCCAGGCTGGAGGGAGCCAGAGCCACGGGGCCGGCGGGGCAGTGTGGACCCTGCCTGCATGCTGTGCAGCCTCCTACACTGGTCACCTACAGGTCATGGCCCAGGCAGGGGTGGCAGGCCCCTGCTGCCTGTGGTTCACACCACAGCCCATGTCCCAGGCAGCTATTTTTAAGGGCCTGAAAGGCGCCTTTTCTCTGAGACCCTGGTCGTCACAATGAGGGCCTGTTCCCGTGGCTGTGACGTCACCCGCAGGAAGTGTCCCAGGAGGATAGCAGAGCTGCTTCCTGGTCTGGACGCCCCCAGGGCAGTAGCTCTGGCAGGGTAGCCCCAAGGAGCTCCCTCCCTTCCCTACCCAAAGGCCCAGTTTCCCCCATGACCCCCCATTCAGGCTCTGGGGTGCAGGATGCACCATTCTGGGAGTTCCCCTTTCTAAAGATGCTCTTTTAAGAAGTCATGCTGCCCCTACACAAAAACCTTTCTATGGCTCCCTGTGGCCTGCGGGATAAGTCCAAGCTCCAGTGAGCGGCAAAGCCTCAGTCCCTGTGCCACCTCTGGGCAGCCTCAGACCCTCTGAGCAGCCCGGAAAGACAGTCTGTCCTCAGGGCAGGAGCCTGCAGTAATCGAAGCTCCATCCTCGCTCCTTCAGCAGAACGGGTCTGAAGTCCTGTTCTCCCCACTGTGAGGACTAGGTAGTCACCCCCTTCTGACCGGGAAAAGCCCTAGCATTCCAGGCCAGTCAAGTCACCTGCTCCCCCACAGGTACTTCTCCACCATCCAGGCCAGCCTCAGTTTACTACGCTTCCTGGGCTGGGCTTAGCCTTGTGACCCTCCGGCCTCAGCCTCCTGAGTGCTGGGGTTTTAGGTGTGCGTCACATGCCCATCTCGAAGCCTTCCTCGACCGCTCCCTCCTTCAGGTCCCTCACATGAGCAAGGCCCAGACACACTGGCCTACAGTTAGCCTGTGAGTCAGGTCCAGGGCCCTCACACCCCTCTAGCACCAGGCAGTGTCCACTGCACCCCCGCCTGTCCCCGGCCTGTGCAGCAGCCTGTCCTCGTTTTTGGGAGACAGTGGTTCATGCCCTTTCCTTGGGAAACGTCCCTCTCTTCCTGCTGCTGGTCAGCTGAGAGCCCCAATTGAAATGTGCTCCCCACCAGTGCCGCCTCGACCCCATGTGGTCGCTGCCTGGCCAGCAGCAGCCTTGGGCTGGAAAGGCAAGGCGAGAAGCCACGGTCCAGGTCCAGGGAAGCAGCAGGGATGGTCCCTGAGCAGCAACTTCTTGGGGCAGGGTAGCTGCCGAGGGCACCTCCGTTGGTGCTGGCGGGCACCCGGGACAAGGCAACGACTTTGCTGTGCCTCATCTCCTCCCATCTGTAACAAACATGCCCGTGTCAGGGTCCTCGTGAGGCTACTTCCAGGAAGGGCCAGTCTGCACCTCTCCTCCTGTCACTGCTGCTTTAGAACAGACACTGCCAACCGGCCCAGACGTCCCGAGAAACAGGCAGCACCTGTCCCCTGCTCTGCCCAGTGCCCACGTGAGGGAGGAGTGGAGGCACAGACTTGGGACAGGCACACGCCCCGCAGGCGGGCATTGAGGCTTGGCAAGGACACAGCGCTGCACACAGCCCAAGTTCCCAGCTAGCTCCCTCGTTTCTTCCGAGTTGGATGGCACGGCCGCTACTGCAGCATCTCTGGGGGAGCCAGAGCCAGGCCTCTCTGGCCGCCCTACAAATGCATAAGCTTCCAGAAGCCAACCCGGCCCACCCACATTCCTACCAGGGAAGAATCTCTGCCTCTGGTCACCGGCACCCCTCACCCTGTGGCAGTGTCACTCACACCCACCACGGGGCCTGATCACAGCCTTGAGCTGTACCAGCGCACAAGCCCCCGTCCTGAGCATCCTGTGCTGGGCACAGCACCCTGGCACCTGAGGTCCATCCCTCTGGGATGGGTAGCCCGGCACTTCTTCCCCAGCTGGTGGCTAGGAAGCTGCCACCCCTCCCAGCACCAAGGGGGCCAGCAACCTCCGGAGGGGAGGGGAAGCTGAGCTGTGCCACCCCCGCCCACGGTCGCTGAGGCTCAGGTGGGGTCTGGGGCAGATGCTCCACTTCCTGCTTCGTTACCCCACGAGTGAGCCGCGTCTCCACCCAGCTCGGGGGATCCAAGCCCTCCATGAGGGTGCTGCTGCCCAAGCTTCCCAGGCAGCTGACCTGTCTGAGCCCCAGGTCTACCTCCACGTGCTGCCTGGAGGTGCAGGAAACGTCTGAGCTCCGAGCTAGCTCTGGACCTCTGCCAGGGTTTGGATCCTGACATCTCCCAACAGTTGCACATACTCAGAGGTGGACTTTGGACGGTGATAGATCCAGGACACTGTGCCCAGCAGGGATTCATCCCCGGGCCAGCCCGAGGCCGAATGCGCTGCAGGAGGCAGGGCCTGGCTGGCCAGGTCACCGGGGTGAACCTGGAAGGGTGACCCTGGGCCCGCTCCTCGCTTTGCATGCTTCCTGACCGCCATGGGGTGAGCAGCTCTTCTCTGCCAGGCCCTCTGACCAGCTGCTCCTCACTCGGGAGCTGAGAAAGCTGCCCTTGAGAAGCGGCGGGGACGTCTCACATAGCCGTGTGTCGGCCTTAGGAGCCATCAAGTGTTCCCTCTAGGAGCCCCAATGGGGGGTGGGTGTCCTTCACCCTGTGCACTGGACTGGGGCACAGCCCAACTCACATGGAGAAGCCGAGGCCTGGAGCACGCTGACAGGATGTGGCAGTGCTGGGCCTCACGCAGCGACTCCTCATTCTCAGGGTGCCCGGTGAGATCCATGGCCCCTTGCCCCTGGGCTGCTGCCTCCACACAGGAGCAGGACAAGGCCAAAGCACAGAGCACATGGGCCGGGACGGCGTGCACCACCAGCCTGGCCCGAGCACCCAGGGCCGAAAGCTGTCGCTGTCACGCGTCAGCTGTGCTGGAGCAGACGCAGCAGAGCTGCTCGGGCAGGACTTCAGCAGGGCGGCCCCCACACTCCCCGGAGCACGCACACATGGGGCCATTTGTCCCCTCCTGCTATTCACCTCCACCAGCGTGGCCCCGAGGGTGAGAGCAGCACTTCCTGCACCCCACACTTAGGGATCCTCTTGCCTGCTTTTGCCTGGGGCCGGGCGGGAGTCAGAGGGTGACCTGGGACAGCCCTGCCACAGCAGGCCATGCGGACACCACCGGGCCAGACCCCGAGATGCCTCAGGCTTCTTTCCCAGACTCACAAAGAGCTTAATGTACGCCTGGGGAGTGGGGGGAGAGTTGGGGGGCAGCCCGCAGACTTCCGCCTTCATCTCTGTGCTCCCAGGAAGCACTGCACTTAGGGCCACTTTCTGGATGAGCAAGTGGAGGCTAGGGAGAGAAGGTAACACACCAAGGTCCTGGGGTACTGTTTGTCCGGGTCCAGGCTTCTCCCTGACCCTGGGGCTCCGTTTATCACTGAGCCTCTGTTCTCCCACTAATTATTTTCCACTCCTCTCCAATGAGCAGAATTTGCCATCTGCCACTGGCACTGCCACTGGCACCAGCCAACTCCCTGGGTCAGCTGGGCCTTTGCTTCCTGCTGGTTGCTCTGCAGGGTGGCTGGCGGCTGGGGAACCCGGAGGTGCCAGACCCCAACCTTCCCAGCCCCTCTTTCCGGGCTGGCTCCCACCCAGACTGTGCAGCGTGCAGGGTCCAAAGACCCTGGCTGGCCCATTCGTATTCTGAATTCCTCCTTCACAGGCCATTTATGCTGCTGTGTATCCCAGTGTCCTGGGCAGCAGGAACGGGCTCGCTGTGCTGGCCACAGCTGCAGTGCAACTCCAGACCAGGCACATGGTGTCCGGCTTTCTCCCACATCTTTCCTGCTCCGACATGCCCTCCTGGCCCGATACCTGACCCACTGGCCATCCAGCAGCCGGCCTGGACCCTGGCTGGACCTTGGTTGTGTAGCTGCCAAGTCCTGGTTTCCTCATCTGTAGAATGGGTGCAGGGCCCCATGCCATGGTTCCCATTCCCCGTGGCCCAGCTCCTGGGCAGGCCAGCAGGCTGAGAGCCCCCACCCAAGGGTGCAAGGGCCACAGAGATCCTGCCAGTCCTGTGGGATGCCCCGTGCCTGTATTTTCCTGAGTTCCCAGGGGACCCTGCCCAGCTTGACCCTGGGTGCCTGAGAGGCCGAGGCTCAGCACACCCAGGGTCTCGCTGCCCACCCTGCACCGGCAGACTCACTCTCTTTCGCAAGGCTGCTGCAGCGCCTCTACCTCAGGAGAAATTAGTACCTCTCCTCAGTGGGCACCCAGCGGGGCTGCAACTGAGCTGCTAAGTGGGCACAGCTGGACCCACCCCACCCGCATACCCTTGCCAGCTTCCTGCGCTCTCCTCAGTCTGGCTGCTCCTGGGCGCCTGCTGCTCAGGGCCAGCACTGCCTCCCAACAGGGGCAGCTGGGCCATCTAGGGCACCAGCCTGCCGCAGGGCGATCGGTTTCCCATCCCCAGCCCTGGGCACCTCGGAAGCAGGCAGGATCCAATGACTGTAACAGGAGCCGCCCCGGGGAGGT